TGTCGTTTCTATGAATATTTTTAATGTATAAGTTGTCCCTTTGTGAATGAATATAATTGATTTGCTTTTTCTATACATTCATATTTTATTAATTAATACATTCAGAAACTATAAAATTCGTTTTATAAAAAAAAAACTCACCTCAGGTCACGCCAGGAAAAATAAATCATAGTTTTTCGATTTCGTGGTATTTCTTCCTAAATGGAATATATTAATTCATATAAATTGACCCTCAGTCCTATGTAATAAATTCTTATCGTCTAAAAAGTGTCTTCTGAACGCAGTTTAGAGCTTCTCTCTTATTTGACTTAACACAGCAAGGTGTACAGCCTCTGGATGATCCAAATCTTTAGAGTACATTCTCTACCTTATCATTTTTATAGTATTCCCAAGTACGCGCAAATAAAAATTCATCTGTGTTAAGTTGAAATTGAGTTTTTACTCAAAATTTGCAAATGTCGCAAATATCGCTTTTTTACAGTGGAAGTAACCAAATAAACAACTTATCGGTTCTCGATCAACTGAGTACTCTATCTCGTAATTTGAAATCTGCTAGTGCGCGCAGTATTTACACGTCTATTTATATTCTGGTTATATTGTACATTGTTTAATAATGATATATAAGATTTATTGCATTCCATAATTCTTAAGAGTCAAACAGTCATTCGTATTTTAATAAACAAAAATCGCAGATGGCAAAATATGCAATTCCTTAATACTAGTCCGTTGCTAGGCAATTTTCAACAACCAATACGGGAATATTTTCAACCTAGGTCGAAAATATTATTCTAGGATTGTTTGAAGAAATTTGATTACTGGAACACAACCGATGCATTTGACGTTTCTTTAATTATAATACAACAGTAGATGTTTATGTAGGAAATATCAGACAAAAATATAAATTGGCATAACTCATAAATGACTACCAGTTAAAAAAAAAACAAGCGCACTTACCATTTTTGTGGTGTAATTGGCAGAACGGATAAAGGTATCGAAAAACGTTGTAGTGAGAAAAATAATGAACGACGGCAGTCGAGGAGAATTGAAATCTTCGACGCTAAACCTTAGATGTGCTTGCTTAAGTATGTCTGCCTTTTCCGTAGATACCATTCTTATTTAGGTAGAGGTCGTGCCCTGTGCTCATCTCAAGCTTTCTGTACAAAATTCCGTGTACGTCCCCTCAAGAAATTGATTTTTTAAAGCTTTTGTAACAAGGTTTTATGTTGAAAATATTAAAAATAATAAAATAAAAATTATAAAATATTTACTAAATACTTGATACTGAAAGCAATTTCATAGAAAACAGAATGTGTACCCCGTAGTAAAAACTCATTTCCAAACTTCCATACTTATTGAACTCATCTAGTATTCGACACTAATCTGCATCGTCGTTCGGAACTGCTTTTGCTACTAGATATACAAAATACCGTTTCTGTGTATCATAAAATTCTTAAACATGGTTGCAATTGTTTTAATATTCTTATATTTTAATATAAATAATGATAAAAAATGTATGTATCCATTGATTAACTTAAAACTTTTTTCTATTATAATTTTTTTTCTAGTGGTTCATGAGTTTGTCTCCCTTTTAGATCTTGTTGATTACCAGATTTATCTAGGACATTATTCATTTTCAAATTATAAAGAATATCTCAAATCAGCTTTGTGATGAATAATTTCATGCTGACATCCTAACTAAAAAAGTACACAAACATTTATATTTATAATGATAAATTGGCAGTATGTGAAACAAAGAAGATAAAACAAAATTATGTTCCGATTGGATACGTAAAAAAATTCAAAAAATATTAATAACTTGTTGAAGTGTTTTTTAAAGAGAGCAAATTTTACTATTTCCTCTATAGTTGTTTGGAAGTAGAGCTTGACAATATATGTAAAATGCTAAAAAAAGACACGTAATAATTACTAATTAGTACAATATTACCATCAAAAATATGGAACTATTATACAAAATATGATTATAATACACAGTTGAGTTTGCAGGCTTATTAACATCTTTTATACGTTGGTGGTCTGGAAAATTCTTGGTTTTCCAATAAAAACGATAATTTATGCTTTCAAAGAAGATTTAATTCTTAACATAATGGCCTCAATATCAATCAATTTATTCCAGTGCTATTCCAGTGCCATTATTCTCTTTCTGTAAAGTTCCTCTGGAGGACATTTTTGTGCAAATGTACATTATCCTGGTTCTTTTTAAAGTGGATATATTTTCATCGATATTTGTGTACAGTTTCATGATTATGTTGAGAGTAACATTCTCCAGTTACGGTTTTACCGTGTTCAAGATAGTCAGTTAGCAAAATTCTTTTCGAATCCAAATACAATGACGCCATTAAGTTTCCCGTCGTTTGTTTTTTTTTAACGCGATTTGTACTATTTCGAAAATGTCATTTAAATCCGCTTCTGATCCGCACTCCCCACTTTGCTGTTTCTTGTTCAACTTCTGGCGCAATACATGATCGACACATTCCTTTAATATTCTTCGAATACTAGAAATGTTCTACACATTTATACGCTTTTTTCAATATTAAATCACGCGCTTTTGATGTTGTTTCCATTTTTTTTGATATTATTGGCGTGGATAATATCGGAAATTTTTACAATCACGTTTAAATTTGACCACCAATTGCTGATGAAAATTGAAGGCAAAGGATTGCTATACATATTTACAAACTAAAAATAAACTTTTGTCGGCATTAAATCTTCTATTACGCATGTTTTTATGATTATATGGCATTATACTTCAATTAATTTCAAGATAAGCTTCTTAGACACGTAGTCAACAACAATGTCGTCATAGCTTGTAATAATCAATCACAAGCTGCAATGATCCGACAGACCGACCGATCACGTGTCTGAAACGGTTTACCTGGAATTTTGATATGACAGCTATGCCCACACCCTAAAATCTACAATTTTAATTATTATAATTTCTTTAATCGATATGAAAGCAATTAGTATTTAAAATTGTTTATTTTTAATTTGAGAATCAAACACAAAAGTTACCTGGATTGCACTAAATTACTTTAAATTTTCTGTGGTTAGGAAAGAACTGGGGTTCTCAGGACAAATACAGATTTGAGGTTGAAAGTTGGAACACAAACTTTGGAAACTCGGCTTCTTAAAAAACTGGAACAGCTACAACTGAACACAGTGGCAACATATGGTTAACTTTCAAAATTGTTGTAAACGACACAAATCTCTCAGACACTTAGAAACATTACAAACTACAAATAAACTTTTGTCGTCATTAACTCTTATGATTGTATGGCACTATACTTCGATTAATTTCAAGATAAGCTTCTTAGACACGTAGTCAACAACAATATCATCGTAGCTTGTGATTTGTTAGCACTTAATTTTTAATCAATCACAAGCTGTAATGATCCGATAGACCTACCGATCACGTGTCTGAAACGGTTTACCTAGAATTTAGCTTGAAATTGACTTCTTCTTCTTAGGCTTCTTAGGATAAATACAAATTTGAGGTTGAAAGTTGGGGCACTGGAACACAACCTTTGGAAACTTGGCTTCTTAAAAAACTGGAACAGGTACAAATGAACACAATGCCAACATGTGGTTATCTTTTAAAATTGTTGTAAACGACATAAATCTCTCACATACTTAGAAATATTACAAACTACAAATAAACTTTTGTCGGCAGTAAATCTTCTATTATGCAGTGTTTTATGATTGTATGGCACTATACTTCGATTAATTTCAAGATAAGTTTCTTAGACACGTAGTCAACAACAATATCCTCGTAGCTTGTGATTTGTTAGCACTTAATTTTTAATCAATCACAAGCTGTAATGATCAGACAGTCCTATCGACTCCGTGTCTGAAACAGTTTACCTGGAACTTAGCTTGAAATTTAAGGAAGTGTAGATTTTTGAAATTTTATAACACGTGTAACAACTTCATTCAGTAAAAAAGATATAAGAACATTTTTTGAAGTTTTAAAGAGAGCTTTTCATCAATTTACTGGTTTCAATATAATTTGATCTCATATAAAGATTTTGGACGTTTCGTAGGACGACAAGATAGCAAAAAATATGTCTAAGGATATGTACCTAAATAATCATAACAAACCATGAGTATTTTAAATATGTTGAATACATATTGTCAAGCTCTATTTCTAGCTATGTGCGTAGACAATTCTAAATTTGGAATCTGTCGAAAATGTTAAAATGCTTTTAAAGTTGATATTTAAAACTCATGGATATATTAGAAAGGCTGTGAATAAGTGTTTTTTGGTTTTTATAAGTGAAAGTGGTATGTAAAAAATATTATAAAGACGTAGCGAGTTTATCAGGATTAGATATAGATGCTGCATAGAAGATATGGATATTTATGACTTTAAACCGCCATTTTCCAAGGTGGCACTCCCATTTTATCTACGTATACAATGCTAGTATATCCTCAAATATAAATTTGTTCCTTATGTTTTTGCAAGCCACAGCAAGCCAAGGTTCTCACCCTTGCAAGCCATAACTTTAAATTGAAAGTAGTATTTTACAGTAATTGATTTGTTTTCCTTAATTATCAGCTTTTATGCTGTCAATTTGGTAATTATATTGAATCTGTAATATTGTACCGTTTTTAAATATAACGAGCGATTCTAATTTATATAAATATGTTTATTTATAAGTTTACAGTTTGGTAATATCTTATCAACTCAACTTAAATCATAGAAGGTCTGCTTGTATATAAAAGTTATCATGTACTAGAACACTTTGGAGCATCCCACCTCTAACTCGCCCGAATCATCTCTAAGCCTCTCGTCATCTCGCGATGCAACCGTTAAGGCCCAGGATGGTGGAATCTACACAACTCTCAGCTCTGCATGAACCCCTCAGAAAGAAATAACAGTCTACGGGCTTTGAAGGATACCATCTAATCGGGTTAATGCAACACACACTAATTCGTACGCCGGTTTCTCGGGAGGTCACTTCAAGCATGCTTCTGACAATCTTTCAATCCAGATTAACTAGTGCATGGCCTATCTTGGGTAAGGCCAAATTCTTGATGTCATAATTGCACACGACTTTTTTCAAATTAGTTAGACCACGCCATATATCCTCGTAGCTAGCCCTGTCTATATACGACTTTCTGGTCACCATATACAGCAAAGATCGAAAACCATCTTCTAATCTCAGTACTCTTTTAACTTTATGCTGCTGGTTTGTTAACTCGTCCAAACGACCGAACTTCTTATAGAATACAGATGAGATTCCTTTAGTCATCTCAAGATCTTGGGCAGCACAGTGATCTAGAGAGACGTTATGTGGAACACTAAAAAGATCCTGCTGAACTTCTGTCGTCATGCCGAATCTAGCACCCTTTCTCTCTGCGTTATTTGACATAAATTCATTAAAGCTTGGTCGCCGGTCATCTTTGATCTCATGTTGAAGAGATTGTGCTTCTTCTGTTTCATTTGAGGAAGCACGGGCCAAGTCGAATGCATGTTCGTAACAATATTAAATTCTATACTAATACGAACATTTTCTTCATGGTTTCATGCGCGGGTGAGATATTTTCTAAATCACTCCCATTTATATTACTTATTGATACTTCTGTAATGAATCCAAAGTTGCTTTTTATAAACTGAGGATTTCTTTATACTCCTGAAAAGTTCAATTAACCTGTGACTGTTCTATCCTGCATCTTATAACTATCATAAACATCTGTATAATCTTTAGAAATCCCTTCGATATTTGATTTGTAGATAATATTTGTATTCTCGTTCTCTTATGTCCTTCATCGTCTCTGAGGACGTAGTAGCATAATGCCATTCGGTAGACTATTACTATTCAAGACCTCCTGAATCTTTTGCCGGTTTCACTGATTCTTTTCGTTCCCATATTGAGTAATTCGTGTGTTGTGCTATCCATGGTGTGCACATCATTCTGTGACAGATCCAGATTTCAAATTAAATCAGGCATAGTTTGGTGTTATTTGTACTGTCAGTGTCATTCTATAGTACACATTATATAGCATCCTATAGTACTCTTACATGAGTTTTGCAGTAACTGGCTTTGTGAGCGCTGATAATTTTGCCTTTGCCCCCTCTACCATTGGCGATGAAGTAACTAAATTAAACTGTTTAACCACTTCGACCAGGCAAAGTTTATCATTTTTGGTTGATTAGTTCAGTTTCAACTGATAATCATGTTCTCTACCCACAATGTCAAACCTGCTTATAGTTTTCTTTTGTTGGGAATGCCAATACGGTATCATCAACATATTATAGGTTAGGTTAGGTTGATGATTTTCATGCTGTTATTGTCATTCTTCCTTTTTTTATTCTCAAAAACTTATACTATCGTGTGTTCACATATAATAATATGTTCACATTAATTGAACCCAAATTATTTTACCTTTTTCACTATTCGAGATTTATTGTAGATTTTCAGTATTAACTCAATCCCTACTCTTCCAATTTCTTTAATTGTTTTAGGCGTTAATTTGTTTTTTTATTTCATTTACAAGACAAGATAACATATTTCAACAATAAAGATATGACTGATAAAAGTTTACAAAACATTCTCATCATTATAAACTCGCTGATAAAATGAAATCTATTATTTGTAAAAGTTATAATAATTTTCTACTTGTTATAAAAACTACATATTACAACAACTCAATTACCTACCTCAGGAACTATCTCGGACAATTAATCCAGATATGTTTTCAAACCTAGTAAATCTTAGCAACATATTACCTCAAGCTGGTCCCCTTTCGGGGAAGCGATACAACGAAAATTTGAGAAGCAATCATCATCTCGAAAAATAAAACTCATTTTTGTAAAAATTTGACTTTTTATTGAATCTGTCAAAGTTTCCTATCGATCAAAACAAAAAACTATTGGCTGTAGTATTTGACAGATAAACTACATTATAAAATTAATCAAACAACAGATTTTGTAATCTTTTAAATCGCTAAGTGACCTATACTACCTCGTTTTTTCCAAACTGCCTCTCTTTTAACTCTGGAATGGTACGCACCAATAAATAAGTATTTACTGTACCCTGAAGTACACGTACACAAAAAAACATAAAAAATTGAACAAAAGTTTAATTCATTAATGAAACGGAACATGTTGCTTGAACATTGTTGTTGATGAACACGTTTTTCATTCTTATTTAACACTTCAACATAAAATAATAGTAAAAGAAATAAAAATAAACAATCTGTGAATTTGAAACTGTTGCATTTATTCTATCTAATACGTCAGATTGTATATGTTACGTACTCTCTACGCTACTTTACGGAGTAGAAGGGTGGACGTCAACAGTAGCAACTATAAGGAAGTTAGCGGCTCTAGAAATGTGGCTGTATCGACGCATACTGAGAATACTTTGGACAGACAGAGTGACTAACACAAAGGTATTAAAATGAATGGGTAAAGAGGTGGAATGGTTAACAACTGTTAAAAGGAGGAAAGCGTCATACCTGGGCTATGTGTTTCGTAATGATAAGTACAGTCTGCTACAGCTTATCGTGGAAGGCAACATAATACATGCGGCACAAAACAGAGAAACCTATCGTTTGATGGTCGCCAACTTTCGGTAGAAGACGACACATAAAGAAGAAGAAAAAGTATATGCTCAATTGGTTCTCAGGGTTCAGATGAAAAACATGGTATTGTTAGTACCATTCCAGAGTTAAAAACAACCTGATCAATCTATATAAGTTATTTTAAATCAACCTAACTAAGTTGCAGAAACCCTTAACTCTTAACTCTCAATGGAGACATGTTTTCAAACCCGATCATTGTTCCTTTTGAACAGTTCTTCAGTTCTCCTTCTAAACTTTTGCTCCTTAAAAAGCTGCCATGTATTGTTTAACTTTCTATGACTGTTATTCTCTGTATTCAACCCTTTCCTCAATTTTTTTTTATTTACGAAACGTTTCAACAATCTTTTGAAAATATTTTTGATAATATCGTGCTCTTCCAGGTAATCTCCATTGACTTGCCGTATTTAGAGTTTTATACATTTAACGTTTATTTACACAAATACACGTTTTAATTTATTAATAAAAAGTTTAACGTAGATACATTTTTAATAACCATAAGTTAAGATAAGTATCATAGGATGATACAAAATTTGTTTATATGTATACTAAATAACTAAAAATACAAGTTTAAAATCATTTCTAATATTTTTTACCTACCAAAACCTGTTAATTGTACAGCTATTAAACTATTTACTTTATTTTTCAGTGTACATATTAGTCCGATTCCCAAGTGTTCATATTTCGTGTGTTACTAGAGTGATGAAATAATTGTTTAATCTAAGCTTTACCAAAAACTTTCTTCATAATTTTTTTGAATTTTGAAATATAGGTACCTGATAATCGGGTTTGGAAGAACATTTTTATCTGATTTTAGACCTTGTAGCTCGTAGCTTTATTTTACATAATATGCGTGTTTCCGAAACCTCCATCTCCCGATTGAGAAGAATCTTTATTGAAACCCATTAGGAGGTTGAGTTCTCCTTTGTACATTCTAAGTTATTCCTCGGTAAAGTTTCTTTTGTTTTCTACGTCCATCTTAGGTCCTAGTGTAGGACCATTCTATTCTGGATGATTTTGTGAGATACCATTCAAGGAGAACAATGAAATAGCAACTTGTGCGATATTCCTTCTTTCAAAGAGATCAACAGTCTGAAAAATTTCTTCTTTCTGTAGATCGTATTTTTGGCAGCAGCTTGAAACCTTTGGATACTTTGGATCAGCTGAAAAAAAATGGTAAAATGGTAAATATGGAAACTGTAAAGTCATTAGAAACGTGACAAGAGTGACGAAACCGAAGTCCGCTACTAGATCTTCGCTTGCCTAAGTGAAGCAGTTCCCAAAGGAGAATTCGAAGATATTCTCAAGGTTGGCATCGTATTATGTAATCTAATAAACAAACTTGCACCTGGATGTATCAAGAAAATTCAAGTCAAAGGGACCAATTTCTAGCTGATGGAAAACATACAAAGGTTTCAAGCTGCTGCCAAAAAATACGGTCTACTGAAAGAAGAAATTTTTCAGACTGCTGATCTCTTTGAAAGAGGAAATATCATCCAGGTTGCTATCTTATTGTTCTCCGTAGGTCGTATCACCCAAAAACATCCAGAATGGAATGGTCCTACACTAAGACCTAAGATGGTCAATGAAAACAAGAGGAACTTGATCGAGGAATAACTTAGGGCGCACGAAGAAGAACTCAACCTCCAAATGGATTTCAACAAACGTAGGTTTATTGTAAAGAATGTAATTTTTTCTTCTTCTTCTTCAGATGCAAATCCACTAATGGATGTTAGCGATCACATTTTCCATTAACTCTCTATTTCTTGCAATATGTATCAGAGATTGTATGTCGTTAATCCCTGTCCATTGCCTTATGTTTCGGAGCCAGGACATTTTCTTGCGTCCCATTCCTCTCTTGCCTTCAATTTTACCCTCGATTATAAGTTGGAGGAACTGGTATTTTTCATTTCGCATGATGTGACCTAGATACGCCGTTTTCCTTTTCTTGATGGTTTCGAAAAGTTGGCGTTCTTGGTTTATTCTTTTAAGGACATCTATATTTGTGATTTTCGCTGTCCATGGTATTTTTAGGATACGGCGATAAAGCCACATTTCGAAAGCTTCCAATCTGTTTATATCCCTCGTAACGTAATTTTTTCATATTTCATTTATGTATACATAAAAAAACTTGAAATTGATTGTGTTTTTTCAACAATTATCTGCATATCGTTGGTATATTTTTTTCCCGATTATTTTTCAGACATTTATTCCATTTGAAACCATTTTACAAAATGTTTTGTTACTAAATTAAAATTTTTGTCAGTGTTAAAGTTATTTATAGGTATGTAATTATATACGTGAAACAGATTTTATTATTAATTTAATCATTTGAATGCAATTTTTAGATTTTTAGTTGCTAGTGGAATATATAAAATCTTATACAAGGTCTTAATCAATCGTAGAAAAGACAAAAAACGCTTTTTGGATATAAACATTCAAGAAAATTATGAAATATTTGTGTTATTTCGTTTCGAATACTATTATGTAGGTACCATGCCTAATTGTTATAGTGGATTTCGTATTTACCTGTACTTCATTTATTTTAAGACAAGAAGAAAGTCGAATCTTGTGCGATATTCAAAGTAACGTGGGAAATAACTCTTTTTGGATAATCAAAATCTCGTAAAATTGAGAGTTAATTGTATATTATTAAAAATCGTATTAAAGCAATGTTTCTATGCCGTTTCTATGACAAAAGTTGCAACGTCTCCGCCAGATGGCGCTACTTTAATTTTACCAGTTGAGT